GGGCAGATAAACGCCTCCACAGTGAGGGAGGGATTGGGGCTGGTTCAAGCTGCCCAGCTGGTGTGGGACGCAGGGAGGGGGGTTCCTGCCACTGTGCCATCAGTCCAGGAGCTGCTCTTCCGGTGGCTCCTCTGGAAGCTTTTGCTGCCAGTCCAGGAGGGCATGGAAGTGGGCATGTGCCCCTGGATCTGCATGCGGCAGGCTCGGCCCAGCTGCGCTCCAGGAGGCTAGCCCCAGCCGCCCACTGCTGGGCTGTGCTTTGAGCGCTTAGCCTCAGCCACAGCCCAGAGCTCAGCCCTGGCTCTGCCCACCCTGCAGAGCGCAGTGGAATGGGAGCCATGGGGGCTGCAACCACCCTAAAATTCACCATAGCCCCTGGTGCTAGCCCCGCCCTTATCTGGGTGCATGTGCCCACCCCCATGCCCTGCTGCTGCTTGCACAGCAGTCCAGGAGCTCTTCCGGCGGCTCTCACTGCCAGTCCCAGGAGGGCGTGGGAGCAGGCTTGTGCCCTAGGATCTGTGTGGGGAGGGCTGGGCTGGGCTGGGCTGCGCTCCAGGAGGCTAGCCCCAGTTGCCCACCGCCGGCCTGCACTTTGCAGGGCAGGTGAAGCCAGGGCTGCAGTCTGGGCAGCTAGCAGCTTGTTTGGGAGATGCGGTAAGGCTGGGGCGACTTCTGCCACTGCCCACTGCTTGTCTGATGCAGTGCAGTGGCACCGTCCCATGCCTCCCCGCCCCAGCTGGGTGAGCAGCGGGAGGGCATAGCCCCCGCTTCCAGTGCCTTCTGTGCCCCCGTCCGGAGCTCAGCCCAGCCCAGCCCGCTCCATGCAGATCTGGAGCACACACCTGCTCCCATGCCTTCCTGGACTGAGCCGCTGGAGGAGCCGCTGAAAGAGCAGCTCCTCTACCGACAGCGTGTGGCAGCACAGTGGTGGGAGCTCTCCTCCCTAAGTCCCATGCCTCCTGCCCTGGCTTGCCCCAGCCCCAATCCCTCTCTTGCTGTGGGGGCGTTTGGTCTGCCCTCCCCACCCCTCCGCGCCTTTCCTTCCCTCCTCCGCCCACCACAACAGACTTAACATCTGGAGGCAGCTGTGTCCAGCGTGGTTTAGTCTATGGCTGAATCTCTCAACCAGCGCCAAATCGATTTGGAGGCTTCTGATTTGATTCAGGCCTTTTAATGGGTCTGCCAATTCTATTTGGATTCGTAGATTTGGCCACTGAATCGGGCCAAATCTCTTCCGAATTGAATCAGCTACCGAAGCGTCGCACAGCCCTAGGAAGAGCTACTTATAGCCAGAAGAACAGCAATTGTTCTGTTCTTCCACTTACCCTGTGATGACATGCTAATAACAAAAGTTGACATGATCAAAGTGTTTTGGTACAAGACTAACTTTGTCAGTGAACTACTGAAATAAACCATGGTATTTTCAGTTCAGTTCAGAATAGAAACTTGAAAATAATCGTCTTACAAATCCATCTGACAAATAGATTCTCTGATTAGTATGCACAATGCAGAGTCACATGGCAAAGAATAGTTTTGTGTACTCGCTTGCATCCACAGCCTCTTAGGTTGGAAGTCACCAGCCTGATATCCTGTCACACAGATAATGTGTCAGGAATAGGTCTTTGAAGTCAGTGTAATAGAACTTACTTGACTTCCCTTTATTGGTTTGGCTTCCATTTTTCTATCCTTGTTTTCTATTCAGCAATATAACTACTGTAGCAAGTATAGTTCTAGAAATGGGTTATAACTGGAAGGAGATAAGAGAGATTACAATGATCTGTGATCTGTTTTGATGTTTAACTTCTTACAATTTAACTTTTTAAAAGGGGGTGAACAGATTTGGGGTTTTTGTCTGTTTTGTTTTTAATCTGAGGCCTTATCTATATGGGGAAAAGCATGGAATAGCAATTTCTCACTATCCCCACGTGTGTATGCTGACATGCTTACACTTGCATAAAGCCACACTTACTTTGGAGTAAGTGTGTTCACATCATTATTTGTTCTGCAGTTCAATAGCTTCCCCAAGATTTCTCTACAAGCAGTAAATATGTATCTTCTAAATACATATGCATCTTAGGCATTGAAAACGTACTACAATACACTATAAAATTGTTATGGTTATTTTGGCCATAAACAAATTTAACCTACCACATGTTCAATTAGGAATTTTTTGATAAAAGGGGTGCTAATTTATATGAAAACATGTTAAAACACTGTATGAAATTTTAGACAGAGGGACAAATTAGAGGAAATCCTGCGTGGATTAACGCCTCGTAAGAATGATATTGGGGATGCAATGGTTTTCTGTCTTAATAATGCTGAAGCTGCTGAAGAAATTGTAGACTGCATTACTGAGTCGCTGTCCATTCTGAAGACTCCTCTTCCCAAAAAGGTATGATCATTTTCCTTAATCATATTGCATATGTTTTTTGGGATTGCTTATGCACATATTGCAGGAAAAGTATTGTTGCACAGATCATGGGCACATACAAATGTTCAATTCTAGCAGTACAAAATGATTCATGGGAGATGAAAAATTACAGACCTTCCTCTCCTGCTCCTTTCACCTTGAGACTGGATGGCGATTCCAGTCTGGGGAAAGTGTGGGCTGCTTTATTTGTCCTATTCCCAAGGTAACTGCAGCAGTGGGGCAAAGCCCCCTGCCTGTTTTTAATGCTGGGATTCCAGTGTGAGAACCAGGCAGGGGGCTTGTGGCGCTGCTCCCTCAGCTCAGCTCAGCTCAGCTCAGCTCCTGCTGGACCTTGAAGGAGGGTAAGCGGCAGTAAAGTGTGACAGATGCTCAGGCTTTCAGGAGAAACTCTCCCAGGAACAATTTCTATCTTGTTATATTTAGGTTCTTTATCTCCCAGAACAGCCATTTTTGCTCTGGGAGAAAAAGCTGGACTGTTTGCACTCTTGTGGTGCAGTGAGATATCCACTGTGCAGGAATCCTCTGCAGGTGATTCTTCTGGTGCATGGGAACCCCTGCATGAGTTTGTCCACTTGCAGGAGCATGCCCCAAGTTGGGGTGTAGCAGCTTGATGCAAGCACTGGGGAAATCCCCTGCAGGGAGATTCCCAGGATGCACAATAAGCCAACAGAGGTCTTCCCATCTAAAGCATCACAAACTGTGACTGCCTTTGGTAGTAGCAACATTTTTGGGCTCTTAGAACATAATGGGCTAGGATGTCTGTTTGCTTATAACTTTTGATGGCATAAAAATTCTTATGCTCACACAAGGGCAGTGTTTATTTGCACCTTAAGTTTCTTTAAAACTAGGACTTGATGTTGATGATCCTTTTTTTCTGCATTTGTAACCATTTTACTTAGTCTTACAATCTTTTTTTTAAATCTTGAAACTGATTTTCGTTCATTCCTAAGCTAGCCTTTTCTACGTCCAAGTGTTAGCTTTTTTTTATCTTCATGGACAAATATGCAATTTCCAATATAGGAAGTGAAAATAAGAAATCTAAAATCTTTTCCTGATAAGAGTATGAAATTCATGTATGTACTGAAGATTTGATGACTTTTCTTACAAGAAATAATTCAAAACACAGAAGAGGATACTAATTACCTGCTAATGTGTAGTAAAAATACAGCTGCATCTTGTTAGCTTAATTGAAAATGGCAAAAAGTCTCTTGAATTTGGCTGTCTTTAACATTTATGCCAAGAGAATACAGTATTATCACAATGCAACTTAAAGAATGTCCAAATTAAGACCAAGTTATTTTATTATAGATTGCAAGATTATACTTGGTATCAGATGTGTTATACAACTCTTCAGCTAAAGTTGCCAATGCTTCATATTATAGAAAATTGTAAGTATCAGTTTTTTAAATTTATTGTCAATCAAAATAAAAGAATGTATTAATATTTAAAAAATGCATCCCATCTTAAAAAATCATAGAAGATGAGGGTTGGAAGGGACCTCAGGAGGTCATCTAGTCTAAAACCCTGCTCAAAGCAGGACCAGCCCCAAGTAGATCACTCTAGCCACGGCTTTGCAAGGATGGAGATTCTATCACCTCCTTTAGGTAACACATTCCAGTGCTTCACCATCCTCCTAGTGAGAGAGTTTTTTCTAATATCCAACCTAAACTTCCCTTGATTCCACTTGAGACCACTGGTCCTTGTTCTGTCATCTGCCACCAGTGAGAACAATCTAGCTCCATCCTCTTTGGGAGTCGCCTTTCAGGTAGTTGAAGGCTGCTATTATTAAATCCCCACTCCTCTTCTCTTCTCCAGACTAAATAATCCTAGTTCCCTCAGTCTCTCCTCAGAAGTCCTGTGCCCCAGCCTCTGAACTATTTTCATTGCATTTTGCTGGATTCTCTCCAATTTGTCCACATCCTTTCTGTAGTGGGCCCCCCAAAACTGGACATTCCAGGTGTGGCCTCACCAGTGCAGAATAGAGGGTAATAATCGCTTCCCTCAATCTGCTGGCAGTGGTGTTACTAATGCAGCCCAGTGTTCTGTTCGCTTTCTTGGGCAGCAAGGGCACACTGCTGACTTATGTCCAGCTTATTGTCCACTGCAACTCCCAGATCCTTTTCTGTAGAGCTGCTGCTTAGCCAGTTGGTCTCAGGCTTGTAGCGGTACATGGATTTCTTCTGTCCTAAGTGCAAAACTTTGCAATTATCCTTGTTTAACCTTATGAGATTTCTTTCGGCCCAATCCTCCAATTTGTTTAGGTCACTCTGAATCCTAGCCCTACCCTCCAGTAAATCTACTAATCCCCTCCAGCTTGGTGTCATCTGTGAACCTGCTTAGGGTGCAGTCCATCCCATCTTCCAGATTGTTAATGAAGATATTGAACAAAACCAGCCCCAGGACTGACCCCTGGGGCACTCCACTTGATACCAGCTGCCAACTAGATGTTGAGCTATTGATCGCTACCTGTTGAGGCCAGCAATGCAGCCAGGTTTCTAGCCACAGTACAGTCCATTCATTCAATTCATACTTCCTCAGCTTGCTTGCCAGAATGCTGTGGGAGACTGTATCAAAACCCTTGCTGAAATTCAAGGTGTATCATGTCCACTGCTTTCCCTGCATCCACAGAGCCAGTCATTTCATCATAGAAAGCCATCAGGTTGGTCAGGCATGACTTGCCTTTGGTGAATCCATGCCGACTGTTCCTAATCACCTTCTTCTCCTCCAAGTGCTTAGAAATGGATTTCTTGAGGTCCTGTTCCATGGTTTTTCTGGGGACTGAGGTGAGGCTGACTGGGTCTGTAGTTCCCTGGATCCTCTTTCTTCCTTTTCTTAAAGATGGGCATTATATTTGCCCTTTTCCAGTTTTCCAGGGCCTCTCCCCCACCCCCTCCTCAGTAGCCGCAAGTTTTCAAAGATAATGTCCAGTAGTTCTGCAGTTGCATCAGCCAAGTCCCTCAGCACCCTTGGATGCATTGAATGTGGCCCCATGGACTTGTACATGTCCAGCTTTTCTAAGTAGTCCCTATACTGTTCTTGCACCACTGTTGGCTGCTCACCTTCTTCTGAAACTGCTGTCAGGTGCAGTAGTCTGGGAGCCTGTGAAGACTGAGGTGAAAAAGACATTGAACACTTAAGCCTTTTTTGCCTCCTCTGTCACTGGTTTGCCTCCCCCATTTAGTAAAGGACCTAGACTTCCCTAGATCCTCCTCTTGTTGCTGACATACTTGTAGAAACCCTTCTTGTTACCCCGCATGTCCCTTGCTAGCTGTAACTCCAGTTGTGCTTTGGCCTTCCTGATTTCATTCCTGTATGCCTGAGCAATATTCTTATACTCCTCCCTAGTCATCTGTCCAAACTTCCACTTCTTATAAGCTTCCTTTTTGTGTTTAAGGTAACCAGAGTTCTCGGTTAAGTCAAGCTGGTAGGCTGCCATATTGGCTATTTTTCCTGTACGTTGGGATGGTTTGTTCCTGCATCCTCAGTAAGGTTTCTTTAAAATACAACCAGGGTTCCTGGACTCCTTTCTTTCTCAGACTGGCATTCCAGGGGATCCTGCCCATCAGTTCCCTGAGTGAGTCAAAGTCTGTAAACCTCCCTCATTTCAGTAACAGTACCATTGCAATTCTGTACTATAATAGATTATGTGCCTCCTTTCTTGCTTACTTTCTTTTTTCAGGTCTGTATATTCTTTTGTGCACAAGCTTTCTTTGGCTTGGTTTTCAAAAGTGGATTTTAAGATCCTACATCCATTTTCAACAGTCTTGGCAATTTTCAGTTGTCTTTCCTTCCCCAAATGTTATTTCTTAAGCTGTATATAGATGTAACTTTAAAATGGGTATGGGGAGTTGCTGCTTGAGAATGCGCATGCTTCTGAATTGATACAATAGAGCTAAATCACTGTAAGCTGAACCCTTGAAGTTACAATGGCCTTGCTACACTTGCATTGGCATAGGAGCATCTGATAGCAGTACAGTCTGTCACTACCCTTTTGTTTTCAATTTGTACCTTTTTCTTTTTATAAATTCATTTTTGTTAGCAGATTAAGTAGTTCCATGGAATTAGAAGTGATAACCTATGTCACAAGGAACAGATATTTACTGGCTTTGTGGTGGTTTTACTGAACTTATTCCCAAATATACTGTTGTAATAGCATAACAAGTAGCATTTGTAGACAGCAGTGGAATTTAAAATTTGGATTTGTCCTTTGAAAGTTTAGGGGATAATTTTGTTTCAGTGCAGGGGAAACTTAATAAAATTCCTTGTTGCAGCTCTAAATTGCATCATGGGGCTGAAAGCCAGGGAAAGTGGAGGGGCTGGGCTTGGGGACTCCTGGGTTCTCTATCCTGGGTAATTACAGGAGGTTGGAGGCTGCTCAAGTTATGGCATCCTTGCCATAGCAGCATGGTTTAGTTTCTGAAGCTCTGCCTGCAGCAGCCCCTCCCAAGTCCTTAAGTCAAGCTTTTTAAGGGAGCCTGATGGTGCCCCTCTACTAAACTTTCAAAGAAAGCACTGTCTGGCTGGATATGGGGCTGTAAGAATGTTTTTTTTTTTTTTTTTGCTG